GTTACTGTGAAGTTCTCACTATCACCGAGCTAGCTATCCATCCTGTTAAACACTTTCAAAGAAACTCCGGCACAGATGTCAGCTTTACTGAAGTTCAGCTGAGACACACTACACCTTCGGCCAGCCCGGAGCAAAAACGTTTCATGGCTCTGCTCAATGCTAGGTCAATAGCAAACAAAACGTTCCTGCTGAGCCACTTCTTCACCTCTCGTGAACTGGATTTTATGTTTCTGACGGAGACCTGGGTCCACGCTGGCGAGTATACACCGTTCTCTGAACTTCTTCCTCCTGACTGTACTTTCTTCAGCTCCCCCCATACCACCGGCCATGGTGGGGGCATAGCATCAGTGTTTAGAGCTAGCCTCCAATGCCGATTGCTTCACCCTGTAACTAGCTATGCTAGCTTTGAGTTGCAGCTTTTTTAACTGAACCCGGCCTCGCCTATGCTCTGCGCTGTCGTGTATCGTCCACCAAAGTGCAATAAGGATTTCATAAATTACTTTTCCAACTTTCTGTCCGGGATCATGGTGAAATATGATCGTGTTTTGATTTCCGGAGACTTCAATGTCCATGTGTGCTGCGAGTCCAAACCTCTGGTTAGGGACTTTTTAAATATCCTTGATTATTTTGGTCTCATTCAGTCCGTGGCTGGCCCAACACACGAAAAAGGACACACCTTAGATTTAGTATTATCGGTTGGACTGTCTGTCTCTGTGGATGAAATCTGTGCAGCAACGCGTATCTCGGACCATTTACCGGTTCTGTTTACAACCTCGATCCCTTCCGCAGGAGTCGAATCATGTGCCCCTGCGAGTCGTCTGCGTTCGATTAACCCCTTGACTGCCTCACAGTTTTCTGATGTTTTTAATGCTTCCTGTAAGGGAAACTTCTGCAGCAATGGAGAGTCAGGACTCAGAGAGACACGAGGAGAGTTGGAGCTTTGATGTCAAACACGGATCTTTAATACAAGCATCGGCCGGAGAAATTCACATCACAAGTCACACAGTCAAAGGTTCTGACTGCACGGGTGGGTTGCCATGTCAAATCTGATCAGCCTCGCATCTTGGTAGACCCTTTAACTAGTTTACAGAGTGTCAACCCACATATTGGGGGAAGGTACGTGAACACCTGGGAACAATGGAGATGTCTCTGATATCCGTGGTGCTTAGAAGCCCGCGTTCTCACAGTCGTAAAACCCCCCCTGTGCCAGCCAGGTCAGGCCATAAAACCTGGTAGTATCAACATACGACTCCATTATCACATTCCTTACGGGAGATTAGAAACAGGGATGGTCGTAAATGTCAACACACAGAATAGGTTAAATATTTAGAAGTAAAGACAGAATTATTCCCAAACACTTTCCTAATCTGTAAATTAGAGGTGAACTGTGCTCTTAGTGCGGATGAGCTTATCTCCATGTTTGACTCGACATGTACCCAAATATTGGATTATGTTGCTCCTTTTACGCTTAGACGCACCAAAGTTCTCTCAGAGCCGTGGCTCAATGACTATACTCGTGCTCTCAGACGCACCTGCAAGCGTGCAGAGAGAAAATAAGGACTGGCTTATCTAAAGCCAGTTGAGTAGCACTTGAAATGTTTGGCTCTATGAAACCTGATGTACTTATATGATTCTGTTTTCTTCAAGGTTGTGTCTTCCTGGTCGAATGTACTTATTGTAAGTCGCTTTGGATAAAAGCATCAGCTAAATGCAATGTAATGTAAAAATGGAAGAAGGATACATTCCATGTCTCCCTAGAAATCCTTCGTGCTTGCCTTTCCGAAAACGGAATCATATAAGTACATTAGGTTTCATAGAGCCAAACCTTTAAACATGCCGTGGTGCAGCCCTTACTTAAAAAGAAAAATCTCGACCCCTCCATTCTCGCACATTTTAGGCCCATCCCAGCTACCTTTTTTATCTAAAGCCCTGGAGCGAGTAGTCTACGCCCAGCTGCAGTCGTTCTTAACCACACATGGTATTCATGAAAATTTTCAGTCTGGCTTTAATCCCATGCACAGCACTGAAACAGCCCTTTCAAGAGTTTTTAATGATCTGCTCCTAGCCGCAGACTCAGGTAGCCCAGCTGTCCTGGTGCTGTTAGACCTGACTGCTGCCTTCGACACTGTGGACCATAGCATCCTGTTATCACGGCTTGAACAGTCCGCAGGCATCACAGGCTCTGCACTTGCATGGTTCAGGTCTTACCTGACAGACCGCAGCTTCTCAGTGCAGCTAGGTGCCTTCTCCTCTGCTAAAGCCCCTCTTACCTGTGGGGTTCCCCAAGGCTCTATTCTGGGCCCCATCCTTTTTCTACTGTACATACTGCCCCTAGGTTCAATTCTCACAAAACACAACATTCCCTTCCACTGCTACGCCGACGATGTATAGATATATCTGCCTCTCAATGCAAACATCAATAACTCACTACAGCAGTTGATGGACTGCTTAACAGAGATAAAATCCTGGATGAGCAAACATTTCTTTAACCTCAACGAGAGCAAGACAGAGGTCATCTTTTTTGGACCCCAACCTCCAGCCTCTCCGGTTGATATTCTGGGCTCCCTCAATACAAATATCCTCCCCTCTGTCATGAACCTTGGAGTGACCTTCACTAGCACTTTTAAATTCGACAAGCAGGTCAGCAGCGTAGTCAAGACCTGCTTTTTTTTTAAATACGACAACTGGCCATGACCGAGTCGTTTTTATCTTTTAAAGACCTAGAAAGGGTTATTAACGCCTTTGTTACCTCGAGACTGGACTATTGCAACGCTCTGTACGTGGGTATGGACCAGGCCTCAATTAGACGCCTGCAGCTAGTGCAGAACGCAGCTGCGCGTCTTCTGACTGGCCACAAAAAGCGTGACCACATCACCCCAATTCTGGCATCACTGCACTGGCTTCCAATTTGGTTCCGAATTGATTTTAAAATCCTTTTATTTGTTTTTAAAGCCCTAAATGGGCTGGCTCCGGCTTATATAGCCGAACTCCACCATTGCCACACCCCAGCCAGAGCTTTAAGGTCTGCTGACCAGCTGCTGCTGGTAGTGCCCAATTCCAGGAGGAACTACCCCTCCATGTGAGGTCGGCCCAGACCCTAGGTGTTTTTAAATGTTCACTGAAGACACACTTCTTCTCTCTGGCCTTCTAGTCAGAGCTGAGCATGATACCTGATACCTTGCCTGTGTTTTGTCTTTATATTTCTGTTGTAAATGTCTTGTCTTTTCTTTCATATGTTATTGTAGTGTGCTTTTATTACATGTACAGCACTTTGGCTCGACCAAAAATCGTTTTTAAATGAGCTTGATGACCAGCTTGGAGGGCACAATGGTGTTGAAAGCTGAACTGTAATCAATGAACAGCATTCTCACATAGTGTTCCTCTGGTCCAGGTGTGAGAGGGCAGTGTGGATGGTGAGGGCTATGGCATTGTCTGTGGACCTGTTTGCTCTGTAGGCAAACTGCAGGGGGTTCAGAGAGTCAGGGAGGGAGGAGGTGATGCATGTTTTGACTAACCGCTCAAAGCACTTCATGATGATGGAGGTGAGTGCTACTGGGCTGGTGATTTTTGTCTTTTTGGGGACAGGAACGATGGTGGAGTGTTTGAAGCATGTGGGGACTACAGACTGCAGCAGGGACCTGTTGAAGATGTCTGTGAACACCTCTGCCAGCTGAACTGCACACACCCTGAGAACACGGCCAGGGATGCCATCAGGTCCAGGAGCCTTGTGTGGGTTAACCCTTTTAAAGGATTTGCTCACATCTGCCCTGTTTAAAACAAAAGGGCAGGGCTCCTGGTCCTTCTGTGCCTCCACAGCCTGGCCGCTCTCAAATCGTGCAAAAAACTGTTCAGCTCATCTGGGAGAGATGGCATGCAGACAGTCCCGCAGCACCCCCGCTGCTCCTTTGTAGTCTGTCATTGTTTTTAGTCCCGCCCACATGTTCCGGGTGTTACAGCCTTTGAAGTCAGACTCCACCTTGTCTCTATATTGTCTCTTTGCACTGCTGATTGCTCTCCGGAGTTCATACCTCGCTGTTTATCCAGGGCTTTTGATTCGGGAATGTCCGTACAGTAACCTTCTGTACCACGTCATCGATGCATTTCCCAATGTAGCAAATGACCGTGTCCGTGTTGATGTTATTGTCCTCAAACACACACCACTCCGTGGATTCATAGCAGTCCTGCAGAGCTGAGTCTGACTCCTCACTCCAGTGCTGTAGTGTCCGTGTCACCGGTCTGTCCCATTTCAGTTTCTGCCTGTAAGCAGGCAGCAGCAGCAGTGAGATGTGGTCTGATTTGCCGAAGGGAGGGCGAGGGAGAGCCTTATATTGTTAGAAATTAAAATCAATGTTGGTATGGCGTAATTTGAATTAAATACACTATTTAATTTAAATCAGTTTTATTCTGAAAAACCGGAAGTACTAGTTGATACATTTGAGAGGAGTTACAAATAAAACAGCTCCCCTAGCGGACATAATAAGTATTACAGTTAATACATTCTTCAACACACAGATAAAGATTACATGTGGTTTCTTTGAATTGAAGTATTGTAGTTAACACATTTTATGACATTTGCATAATTTCATAAACTTGAGTATACACTCTACACGGTTTATTTGGATTTGCACCATATTCCTATTTTCATATTACAAAGTCAAAACCATACACTGTGCGTTTTTATTTATTTATTCAGATTTTAAAAATTTGCATAATTTCAAATTTTTAATTTAATTTGTCTAATTTCGATTTTCCAATCTCAGTTTTACAACATTTAAATTTATTTTTCCAAAAAAAAATTGAAAAAATTACCAGATTTTAAAGTTAAGTTCAGATGACATAGGATATCTTTATAAAGAATACGAGGGTACTATTCAGAGGATTAGTAATTCATTTTTGATAACTTAATAATATTATCTGTGTACTTAAGAAACATGTCGCCAGAGTTAAGAGCACCCACAGTGCCAGGCACAACTGCAGATATTAAGGCGAGAGTAAACATCAAATCAGATGCTTTAACGTGTCCAAGTCATAGACAGAAGTCATGGAACCAAATAGAGAAACTGTTGGAACAGTGGCAAACGAGAGGATTGATTCCAGCAGATGATCAACCTGGACCAACGGAAGCCCATAGAAAAGCTGTAGTTGAACATGAGAATGCTGAATACCTACAACAGGAAAAAGCATGGATCAAAGCCATACAAACCCCTTGGTATGGACCTGCTAAAAGCGCTATGAAAAAAGCTGAAAAAAGAAAAGTTAGGGTTACATGTCTGTTAATCCATCTGACATCCATCGCAGAAGATCTGCCAGTAAATGAAGACACAGCAGAAATGACAAAAGAGGCTCCACTTATCCAAACTCCAAAGCAGTATCCAAGCCTGACCGAAGTGTCTCCTCCAGACATATCAGAGAACAACCCTTCTCACCAAGCTTCGATTCAAGCCCCAAATGAGAAAGAATTGGCATATGAGGTAAGAATCCTATCCAGTGTCAACCAGCTGATGGAAGAACTCGGCAGAAGAATGGAAGCAGAACTCAGCAGAAGAATGGATGCAGAACTCGGCAGAAGACAGGAAGAACTCGACAAAAGAATGGAGGAACTCGACAGAAGAATGGAAGAACTCGACAGAAGAATGGAAGAGGAGCTCAACAGAAGCATTGAAGCAGAACTCATCAGAGGAATGGAAGAGAGACGAAAGGCAGATGAAGCCCATAATGACATTATTGAAGAAAGACGGAAGGCAGTTGAAGCCCATAATGACATTATTGCAGAAAGACAAAGGGAGGAAGATAAATACCAACTACTTCTGGCGGAGAGGCAACAAGACGATGTAAGATTCCAGGACATAATGGCAGATAGACAAAGGAGAGAACAAGAAGAACGAAGAACTCATAGAAAACGCAGAACAAACTACTCTCCTGACTATTCCAATGGACGGGGAGATGAAGATGACGACAGCGGTACACAGTCTGAAACCAGTAGACACTCCCCATACCATGAACAGTCACAGCAACAACGCAGTTTTGCATCTCCTCCTGAGAATAATAGTAGCGACGAAAACGAGCAACATTACCCTGGGACATGCCCCAAAACTAGAAGAACCAAGACAACTAGAAGAACCAAGACAACTAAAAGAACCAAGACCGGTGCACATACCTCCATGCCATTGATAGCGGCTGGAAGAGGAGGATTTCAATACCAATGGACTCACAGGGACATGGAAGCATTAGTGTCAAAGCTACCTCCACTCACGAAAGGAGGTCAGAAGTGGGTTACTGATCTGGAGAAGTACACTGTTCAAGACCACCTGTGCTTGGGAGACATGAGGGCCCTGCTTGGACGGATAGAAGGAAGACTAGAGGCAAGAGCAGTAGATTCCAAGGCCAATTGCACGCACGACCCAGATGAAACTTCATTCAACAATATCAGGTCGAATTATTGGGCTGCTATTCGTCACATCTACCCGACAACACACAGTTTACATGCCCTCAACAGCCTGAGAAAAGAACCGGGGGAAGAAATGCATGCCTTCTTGAAGAGATGTGAAGGAGTGTGGGAGGACTGCACTGGAGAACGGCATGACGTTTCTCCGGCTGTTGTAATGTTGTGGAAGAACGCTGTCATTAAAGCCCTTCCCCGATCAGTGCAGGCAGGCCTGGGAGACGTGGTGGGATTAGACGCTAAACCCATTGAAGAATGGAGACTACATCTCATTCACCACGATATGAAATACCAGGCAACAAAGGGGGAAAATGATGAAGAAATTAAAACACTAAAACTAAGACTTTTGAAGATACAAGTAGCTGAGAAAGATGCCGAAGCTAATAAAAACAAGAAATCGACAAAGCAGATGGCCATACTAGCAGAGAAGGCAGGGCGGACACCTCCAACAGTTCAACAAAGCGGAGGAGGAAGTGTATGTCCACAAAACCAGGTTCAGCAGACACCTGTGTATCTTCCTACGCAAGTACAGCCACAAGCACCACAGTATCTTCAACAGCAAACACCTGTGTATCTTCCTACGCAAGTACAGCCACAAGCACCACAGTATATTCAACAGCAAATACCTGTGTATCTTCCTACGCAAGTACAGCCACAAGCACCACAGTATCTTCAACAGCAAACACCTGTGTATCTTCCTACCCAAGTACAGCCACAAGCACCACAGTATCTTCAACAGCAAACACCTGTGTATCTTCCTACGCAAGTACAGCCACAAGCACCACAGTATCTTCAACAGCAAACACCTGTGTATCTTCCTACCCAAGTACAGCCACAAGCACCACAGTATCTTCAACAGCAAACACCTGTGTATCTTCCTACGCAAGTACAGCCACAAGCACCACAGTATCTTCAACAGCAAACACCTGTGTATCTTCCTACGCAAGTACAGCCACAAGCACCACAGTATCTTCAACAGCAAATACCTGTGTATCTTCCTACCCAAGTACAGCCACAAGCACCACAGTATATTCAACAGCAAATACCTGTGTATCTTCCTAACCAAGTACAGCCGCAAGCACAGGTATACACTCCCATACAGCATCAACAAAAGGGACAATGGAGAGGAAAGCAACGATCAAGAGGAAGAAGGGATGATGGCTGCTTCATATGTGGAGATTGTAGACATCTGGCCAGAGATTGCCCCACTCAGCAATATCCACCACAAGGTAGCACCTCACAATACAGAGGAGAACCAGTGTTAGATATTAGAAATATTGAGGCGGAAGCATATGCCAGGGCCATGACGAATATTTCTGTTGGAACAGGTGATTGGGTAAATGTAAAAATCCACAAGATGAACTTGTTGCAACCTGTATGGAGTGGACCATGGGAAGTTGTAGAACGCACTGCAGATGCGCTCCGGATCAAAGTTAAAAAAGGAACATGTTGGCACCTTCTTACACATTGTGTAGCCGTACCGCCACCTTTCCTGAAACGGCACGGCAGTTAGAACTGATTTTGGAAAATTGGTACAAAACAATAAGGAATTGAACATTTTTTACAACGACAGCACCAGGAGATGAGTAAACTCAAGAATCTGTAGTGTAAATACATTGAGAAAAACACATTTTACACTCAAACTGTTTGCACATCATAGACAAGGAATTTAGACAATATAAATAAATGTTCAGCAAAAGTAATAAGTATAATGGAAAGTAGACATAGGCCTACACTTGAGTCAGATTTCATTACTGTGATCTGATTAGTGTGCTCTGCAGGTTTACTATTGTTCTAAGTAACAGTGGGATTTAAAATATGGAGATGTTCTTTCGTAGTGTGTGGAATATGTGATGCTGGAAACATGTACGTTTTTCAATTTATAGGAGAAAATGGTTTCCTGAAAGAGTTGTGTTGGGTCAATATATAGAAATGGATGAAACTATTTTTAGAGTGAGTTTTTGTAATATCATTAGTAGACATTAATTATGTTGTTTAGATGGCATTTAACAACTAAGACAGATAGTATGATTAGAAAGAGACAGAGTGGAAAGGGTTGGATTTATTTAACATCAGTGTGCTAGACTTCTTATAGGTAATGCGTCCCGAGACCTGGACTCCCCCTCTGAGTTAGAAAGGCTACGATCCCGACCCTCCAAGCAGACGAAAGACCTAACCCAACAGGAGACTCCTCCTTCTCCATCGAACAGACAGAGAACCAGAGCTGAAACAACAACAACAACAACAACAACAACAACAACAAGACTGCAGCCAGAACTATCTCCACCTGTGGCATCCAGAACCAAACAGCATGCTGACATACAGAGAGATACTCTCATCAGCCCCTCAGACAGGGCATGGAGTTCCAAGCTGAGCCACGAGATTTGGCACAAGAGCCGAGTGTGGGACACAAGAGCAGAATCCGCCCTCCATAAGAACAGCAGAGAGACTGTAAAGGAGGAGATGAAATGCAAAGCAGTGCAACAACAGTGGCATGATGGGGGCTGCAGATGTAACTGGGCCAATGGCTGCCTAAAAGAGTTACAGCGGATGGATTCAACAGCTGATGGACTGAAGAGAAGACAGAATCAGAGGAGTTGGCATGGTCGATTAGAAGTGAGGAGGCCGGGGTCACGGCTTGAGAAAACCAGGGGAGGAGAAAAGGAGAACGGGAATGAGTGAGTTTACACATAAACACACTTATTCACAAAACGCACATTTAAATAACTTGAATTAACTTCATAAATACGTAAAGACAGATTAAAGTAAAATGAGAATCATCCTAAAACACACTGAGGGATAAAGGGGAAGACATGACAGAGTAGAACCATATTCTTCAATCTTTTAACAAATCATTCTTTAAGAGATTTGTATTCACGTGTGAATAAAGTAGTGATCTCATTTGTTACAATATTGATCACGATTAAAAGGATAGTTTTAGGAACCACTCTATAGGACAAATCTTTATTTGTATGGATAAGGTTAAAGGAAGAGCTGGTGCCAAGCTACATATAAAATTCCAATCTAAAGTATTGATTTCACCATTGTAGCATAGTTATTACCATAGGAGGGCTTTAAGATGGAAATATAAAATGACTTCTGTTTTGAATCCTTGATAAAGGAGGGAGTAATTGTTGCATGTTCGGACACCCAAGGTTCCACACACTGCTAAAGAGTTTAACATTGTTTTTTAAGTAGACCAGAATTAAAGATAAATGAGTATAATGAGCTATGAAATGTAGAGCTACACAGATCCTAGTAATGTTTTGACTCAAGATAATAGTTATGTACACAAGTTTCTGAAATAGATCATTAGACATTTTAATACTAATTAGGTGTAAATGAATTGCAGTAGTAGTAGTACTCTAAGGAAGTGAGTTTTGTACCAAGTTTCAGGAAAGGTGGGAGGCAGAAGTCCCAATGAAAAGTTAGAATCATCTTGAAAATCATAGTTGAAATTGTGAATGAATAAGGAATGGCGCTCTACATATGACATATTTTTGTAGATAAAGGGTACCCGCCTATGCTGAATTACCTCCGAGAAGACTCTGCAGAGCACGACATGGCCAAAAGACCGAGACCAAATTACCTTTGACCCTGACTGACAGTGTGACAAAAGCACTGTCCATGACTGACTCTGGGGTGTACCTGACCAAACCAGACAACCAGACAGTGTGAGTGTGAATGAATGCCGGCATGTGATCAGTGTAACTGCATGATTCTAAAACAATAACTAACCAAGCATGTTTTTGGACTAACATATTATTTTGGAGCTCCAAGGGAAACGAGAGGTTTCCTAAAAATTCCACAAAAAGGGGAAACCGCACATGTGACCCGGTTCTAATCTACTTGATGATATTTTACTCTCACATGAGTTGGCGGTTTGCAAATGTAAAACTAAAATCTGAAGATTCTGTTTCTTTTAGGCCTGAAGGACGGAGAGGAACACTTCTTTTCACTGAAGTGTTTACTGTGGAAATAATGATAATGGATGTCAAATTGTAAATAATGTTCGTTATGTCCCTAACCAATTACCTGACAGTTTGTTTTCCCCTCCCCATTACAGGGTTTTGTTATACATGAGTTCATGTGTGAAAAGGGGGGAGAGTGTGTATAATGTATAATGTCAACATGGCTGTAAAATTCACAATTTAAATGTTTCTTTTAAGGATTGACAGAAACCTTCCGCCCCAACCCAGATGTTCAAACTGAGCATTGAATGATAGTTTTATAATTAACCTGCTCCATATCTGGGGATAAGATACTGTTTGATGAATGTTGAGATGTTTCTAAATATTGATTGAATTATAACAGGTAACACAGAAGCAGTGGCCAAGGGGCTACTGTGAGAGATGTAATTCTAGAATAGAATACCGAAGAAGTTGACCTGTGATAATTAGGCAATTTTGTAATATTTTAACAGACATTAGAGTAACTGAGGTTTGAAATGTAGAAAGAACATATTACAGTTAAGTTAAACTAAAACATAGTAATGTAATGAGACCGAATTTAATTTAGACAACATATTGTAACTAGCCTGGTAAAGAATTAGAAGTAAAAGCCATAGACTTTATTGTTTAGTTCATTATGGGGATATACATTTAATTTAAATTCATAATAGAAAGACATTTGATGACAGTATGTTGAAATTCTGTATTCATTTTTCAGCTTGATAATAGACAGGTAGAAGCCGCATTGCCAGGTGCAATCGATGGGATTTCTGCACACGATCCAAGCAGAGAATGACGTACCTTACAGGACAGATACACTCAGGAAATCATTCACTCTGACAGCATCATGACTTTAGTTGTTTTTGAATCCATAATGAAATTGTATTGCATAACGTTATTGTGTGTCTTTACCACAAACAGGAATAGTTCATTGTTATATTTAGATTTGAGAAAGATTACAAGGTTTTTATTTAGTTCACCATGAAGATGTTTTTTGTTTGTAACATATGCCCAGTAGTAAGATTCAAATATCAGCAGGTTCTGAATTATTATTCCTCTGTCCCACAACCAACAAGAATGTGGATGGGGAGAACTATATCTACTAGAACCAGCAGAGATTCATAAATTACACCAGAGACACAGTAAAAGTAAATAAAGAGTAATATTTAGCTATTTTCAGATAGTTTGATCCTTCTTATACTTTGTAAAAGAACAAGTGCCTTTACACCAGATACAGTAAGAAGATTATTTATGATGTGAAAGGAGGGAGTTAGACGTTTTCCATACCAAGCTAATTGCTGCTATTTTACAAAGTAACATTAAAGGTTTAAGCTAGAAGTTATGCACAAATGAAAAACTTCATATTTATGATGAATATGTATTTTTTTACTTTTATGAGTTATGTACCATGCAATGTTCGGATGAATAACTAATTGATTTCAATATTATTTACATACCTTAAAGGGTATGTAAGGAGGGATTGTTAGAAATTAAAATCAATGTTGGTATGGCGTAATTTGAATTAAATACACTATTTAATTTAAATCAGTTTTATTCTGAAAAACCGGAAGTTCACTAACTATTAACTTAATACTTTTATTCTGACAATTATTCATTTCCGGTTAGCATTAGCATGTGGCGAAATGCTGCATTTTCAGACCGTGAATCAAAGGTGAAATGACATGTGATGTTGTACACTGAGCACACTGGGTTTAGCAATCATTTATTTCCGCTGAATAACGTTTATTAGGAAATGTTTAAATAACCACAGACACCAGAATGATATAATTTAACAACAGAAAAAGGCAGAAATTGCATTGGACCCGCCCCCGACGACGCCGGCCAATAGGAGAAGACCTCCGATGACAACAGGAAGAGCAAGCCAAGGATTGACCTCTTTCTACCTGCTGACCTGGACTGACCGGTCGGATGAGTAGAGCGCCTCCACTCGCACATTTCATTTTGTACACCACCGCATCTTTTGTGTAATTAAATGCTGTTAACTTTTATAAGCTTCCCTTGACTCTTTTCAGTCTCTCCTGCCTTCGGGGTTCTAGAATACACTAACAATATCCATGTCGAAAAGGGGAATAAACATGGTCCAGTATGTTTCCGCCACTGAATTGACAGTCCGATCCTGACGAAATATAGTGTCAATATCATTAAAATATATTTACATTTTTTTTTACATTTTTATTTTAATGAACAAGGTACATATTATAACGTTGGTGTCAGTTAAATGTATAATCTACGATAAAATACCGATACAAATTGTTTTACGATGTCTAAAGTTACGCATACGTCACATAAGTCCT